GAAAAACAGATTCCGGATAATGACATCGAGTTTATTTATGTAAAGCCTTGTTTGTATCACATCTTGCAAACCAACTTCCGAGTTTTCATCTTCTTTCAATTATATTAAATTTTTAACAATTTCCCATGTTAGCACTTAATAATAATTAGAATAATCACGTTCAATATTGTTCTTGGTCTAGCAAGTAATATAATATAATTATTTGTTAAAATCTTTTTTGAAATTGGTCTTATCCTCATAACTAAAAATCAATTTAAAAAAAAAAAGAAAAAAAGAAAAACAGAATCAATACTGATATTGGTTTAATTCCTTTTTCCTCTCTCCTTCACTGTCCCATTTTATGGATGAATTTAATGACTCGCGCTTCAATTTTATTATAATTTGGTATTACTTATTAGAGTAAACGACTTTTTCCCACCTAAATAATGGTTAATGATACTTTCTCACTCACAGAATTTTAAAATACTACTTTACTACCCAAAGTACAATTCCGTTAATAAATTTCATTGTGAAGAATGATAGGATGGTCAAAATTTTGATATAAGTAATGGTGGGATGGTCAAGTAACAAAATCCCCATCACCTCCACCCGTTTACACCACCAATGATCGGCCCCTCTCACTTTGGAACCTCATTTCTCCATAACTGACCTCACCACACCCATTTTCACCCTTTAATCGCTGGGAAACGTCTACTTTTTTCAAACGAAAACCAATATTTTAGGCTTGTTTCCAATTGATTGGTACATTGAAAATTCACCCTTCAATCACCATTGGAATCCCTTTCACCCCCTCTTCAAAACCCACCATCCAATCAGCTTTCCCTACTCCTCGTTTGTCATCCACTAGTCATTTTTTGGGCGCCTACCACCTACTCGTAAAAGTTCCCAACCAACATGCCCTTCTCCTGCATGTGAGGGCGTGTGCGTGCCTGTAGCACCTTAAAGCCCGCCCGCCAACTGTTCGATAAAATACCCCAACCAACCAAAACAAACTCCACCAGGTAGACTTGAACTAGAAACCCTAGTTCTTTGCGACGGCCGATGGACAATCAAGGTCGGGGGGGGGGGGGGGGGGGGGGGGGGGGGGGGGGGGGGGGGGGGGGGGGGGGGGGGGGGGGGGGGGGGGGGGGGCGTTGGGCACCGGCAATGCACAAGGTGGTAGTTGGGGAAGTTTACAGTGAGGCAATCTGTTAGGAAACGGTCCATATACGCAGCGGAAACTAAAATCATAATAACAGGGATTGCTCCCATTGAGCCAAGATCAAAGGTACAATTTTACAGTTTATGTTAAAATACAAATCTGCAGAAATTAATCATGAGTTTAGAAAAACATACGCACGTTTGGAGGCTCCTCCAAAGTTGTCAATGAACGTTTTTGCTACCGACCCAAGTGTAGGATCGAACCCACGTAGTACACACAAAAACAATCACATAGAACTAAGGAGGGATTTGCTAGATCCTCCTTAGCTTTAAGATTAAAGAAGAAAAATCAAAATGAATTGATTTTGTGTAAAATGGAATACTGCCGTGGGAGAGGAAATATGGGGCTATGTGTTTTCTTTTCAAAGAGAAATGAGTGTAATGAAAAACACTTATTTTACAAAGAAACATTTTCTTTTATGGTAAATTAAGTTGCCCTATTCCTATATGGAATAGGCTTGGGCTCCAACCCAAATACCCCATGTTACCAAACACTTTCAATTAGATATTTTATTTTTATTTCATCATTATCTCAATTAAAATCAATTAATATATATTTAATCTATATATTAACATTTAACAATAATGATGATTTAATTAAATATATGCGAACACATATTTAAACGTAATTTCAATTATTTAATTTTTCTAATAAATTAAATAAAGGCTACGACCTCAGTAAATTTAATTGCACTGTGAAATTACCAAAATACCCTTTCACCTAAAAAGACGAAAACATCCTTCTTTCTTTTTTAGTCTTCAATTATCTTTTATGTGTTTGACCCATAGGCTCCTCATCATACCAGCAGTGTATAGTATCGCGATTAACACCAATTAATCGTCGCACTAATACACAGACCAAGATTGGCCCCTAACAAGGCATCATGGCCACCCGATAGATTCAGATTCAGCAAAGTAGCTGCCTATCAACGATATGGTTACCGTACAATTCGATCTTTTCATCATACGTTATCTCGACGAGACAAAGGCATAGAAATAGTGTCAAACTTTGGTTACTCTCGATATTATGTATTCAGTTTCTAGACCAATGACCTGTATTATAATCCGGATAGAGCAACAACTTAATCCCACTGTGGCCACAGTTTTAGTGTCATTGCCATATACTGAATTGCACCGTGAGATAAATTCTCCCGTACCCGGGAGTGATGAATCCTCTGTCAATCCACCATAGTCTTGATACACTCATTGATGCAGCCAATCACTGCCGTATTGACAGCTCTGAATAGAACTGTGTTAGGCTAGTGTCAAACTGCACCAATCGGCGCACAAGGCGCTTCGATGGTCTCAAGTCTAAGGATCACATGTACCACCATTCGTTAGAGGATTTGTTCCATAGAGACTGGGGTTACCTTCCATATGGGATCCTCTGGTGGGTCAGTCTAGTGAACTTGCTGAGGTGTATTCGCCTACAGTAAGCACCCATGTGTTGCATCAGACTATCACCAAACAACCTTGATAAGTGAGACCAGTCACTGTCTTTCGACAGGGTCGTTCAACACTATGATAGTCTTATCATATTATTTGTGCCCTTGCTTCAGAATAATACTGGGGCTACGGACATTTCTAGAATGACCACCATATGTGCTCATAGGGTTCTCACTATCAAGATTTGAAACACTTGATACCCTCGTCACGGTTCTACCATTCTAAGGACATATATCAACACATATTACAATAACAATGATTTACGCGATATAGAATAAAATGTCTTTTATTGATTAATGAACATTATTACAAAGAGTCAATTCTATAATAATTGATTGGCTCTAGGGCATCTACTCTAACATAATCGGTGTAAATTGTGCTGAGAAAATGCAACGTTTGCGCAAAAACCTAATAGGTAGGCAACGACCATCAGTGGTTAATTGGGTTAGGAGATGTAGGGGTTTTGTTAGGGTGGCATCGATGAGTCAAATGGTGTGATCAGAAAGGGTTGTCATTGTCGGATTCAATCAGATTAGCTAGAAAACACGTCGGCCAAAGGAAGTGCATTGGCCGGCCATTGGCGGAGTAGTTGGTTGCGGGGTAGGGTTTAAGTGTGTTGGCAAAGGGGAGTGATATGGTGGGTTGGGGTTGATGTGCGACATTAGAATCAGGTTGTTTGCCGGCGCAGCCAAAAGTCGCGATGGATGCTAAGAAGAGAAGAGAAGAATAGTAAATTGTATTTTCCTCTTTACAATTAATATTACTGTAGTTAACTCAAATTATTAACAGAATATAAGTTTGGGTAATAAAGTGATATTTTAAAAGTCAATGGATAGAAAAATGTCATTAGACCATTATTTGGGTAGGAAAAAAATAGTTTACTCTTATTTATTACCATAACAATTAAAAACTTCTAAATCACATGGAATGACAAATGGGATGGTTAATGGCAATTACCCAAGATCATGCAATAGAATGGCATATTATCTAGATTAAATTATTTATGATTAGGTTTAAGAAGGGAGTTAAAAAAAGAAGAGAAAAATATACTGAGAAGTGTTGTACACATGTGTTATGCCTGGGAAATCAAGGGCTGACGTGGGGTCACGTGGTGAAACATGGCCTGCTCCCGTCAGAACGGTAAGTGCACGTCAGGCCTGCCAAGCGCCCTGGAGCTCCCACATGTCCGCTCCTCTGCTCCAAATCGCGTGAAATCAGCTTGGGAAATGGGCAATGGGACGAAAAATCAGATTAGGTCCTGACATTCACACCAACCCAAAGATTTAATGATGATTACACGCATTCAACTGGGTATAAGAAGAGGAAGACCCCTTCATTAGGGGGATTCGATCATTTTTACATTGGAACTCTCTCTCTCTCTAAAAGCTTTGTATTTACTTTTCAATCATTTGTAAGTCAGTCCGCTTTAGCGACCTGACCCACCATATCAATACAAATCAGTAGATGTAGGACTTGCTACCTTAGCATCCGAACCACTTTAAAAGCTCTCATCGCATTTATTTCATATTGATAATCCATATTCATGTGTGTTCCTTGTCCAATCAACGCTGCACACGTGTCGATTAGTTGGTGCCTAAATCTTGCATCAACAACATGTTACAAGCAAGGTCAACTATTATCGTTCAGCTAACCCCAAAGAACTCAAATTCCCAGTATGTACAACTTATATATTTTTTATTCTGCATTGATCCTTTCTGTGGGTGGCAGAGAGACATCAGACAGCTTGGTGCCTAGTAAAATATTTATTTGACAAAAATATTTAATGGCAGTTACCCAAGATCGTGCAATAAAATGGCAGATTATCTGGGTTAAAGTATTTATGCTTAGGTATAAGAAGGGAGTTAAAAAAGAAAAAAAAATTAATTGAGACGTGCTGTACACATGTTATAAGCGAGGTCAACTGTTATCGTCTAGCTCACCCCTAAGAACTCATATTCTCAGTATGTACGACTTTACTGGTATTGTATATTTTTTATTCTGCAAGGATCCTTTCTGTGGGTGGCAGATAGATATCAGACAGCTTGGTGCTTAGTAAAATATTCATTTCACATGAATTTATCACCAAGTTTAATTTTCACGACTTGATGACCATGCCACCGTTACCAAGTCAGTCTCTTCTGATTTTGTTTAATTAGAATATGAATTAGTGTAATCAAATAACATAATACTCGATCCTGATAAATATTTTATAAAGTCAATCTATTCATATATCAATTAAGAAATAATTAACAAATGAAGTGACAAATACTATCCATGATTTACATCCGGCACCCTCGAACGCCACTATAAATAAGCAGTTATGTGCAACATGAGCGAGTACAGGATCAAAATTCATCAACTTTCTCCTTCAAACATGACTTCTTTAAAGCTTTTCTTAGGTTTCTTTCTCCAGTTCATCTTTCTCCTTTCTGTCGTCAATGCGCAGGGATTGACAGTAGGGTTTTACTCACAGACATGTCCGCAAGCTGAGGCCATTGTAAAAAATGTTAGCGCTCAAGTCATGTCGGTAGCACCAAGTCTCGGTGCCCCTTTGATGAGAATGCATTTCCATGACTGTTTTGTTAGAGTACGTAAATTGAATATTCTTTTATATATATATATATATATATATATTAAAATATTTGAGCGCCCAAGTTTAATCCTTACTTTGATGAGTAATTCCTGCAGGGCTGTGATGGTTCAGTGTTGTTAAACTCATCAACCAATCAAGCTGAAAAGGATGCGGCTCCAAATCTAAGCCTTCGAGGATTCCAAATTATTGATAGAGTGAAATCTGCGTTGGAAAATGCCTGTCCTGGTGTGGTTTCATGTGCTGACATCTTGGCTCTAGTTGCTAGGGATGTTGTGGTTGCGGTAAATATTTCTCTGCATATTAATATCTTACGTAAAACAAATTTTTATAAATTTTATTATTTAATAGACTGTACTAAGTAAAAATTTTATATCATCTAATCAGCTCGACGGACCTTCATGGAAAGTCGAAACTGGACGAAGAGATGGAAGTGTGTCGAATATTACAGAGGCCTTGACAAACCTTCTGCCACCAAGCTCGAATATAACTCAATTGATAACAGGATTTCAGCAAAAGGGTCTAAGCGTAAAAGATTTAGTGGTTCTATCGGGTACTTAACATAACATTCATGTAAAAATTATGTTAAATAGCATGAAATTGATTAAGTAATTAATATAAGCTCCAAAATTTCCAATAATATAGGTGGACATACCGTTGGGACTTCTCACTGCTCAGCCTTCACCAATCGGCTTTACAACTTTACTGGAAACGGCGATACTGATCCTTCATTAGATCCCAACTACATTGCTCGGTTGAAGATCAAATGCCCGCAAGGAGATCAAAATACTCTAGTAGAGATGGACCCTGGAAGCTTCAGGACATTTGATGAAGACTATTTTACACTTGTTAACAAAAGAAGAGGTCTGTTCCAATCAGATGCAGCTCTTCTTAACAACAATGAGACTAGAGCTTATGTTATAAGCCAACTCTCAAACAGTAGTTCTACTTTCTTTACAGACTTTGGAGTTTCCATGGTGAACATGGGTAGAATTGGCGTTCTTACTGGAACGGCTGGTGAAATTAGGAAAGTTTGCGCTCTGGTTAACTAAGCAAACTTTGTGCTGGTTCAGAGAAAATAAAGTGTATGGCTTGTGTTGGTTTAACATTGAGCTTCAAATTCATTAATTATTAATTAATAAGTTTGTTGTGTCTTGGAATTTTAGCCGCTTGATGAAGGCATTTTCAAAATAAGTTAGTAGTGCTAGTGTTTACTGAATTATTTGCTCTTTTTCGATGATAATAATTGCAAGATATGTCATGAATATATAACAGTTCCAGAAGTTTGAGAATTAATTACAGTGACTAATTAACTAACATCAGTAAGTGAAAGTCATTAAGTCAAGCATGTATCGATTTTTTAAGCTGGATCGAGGGAAACTTGTAATTAATTATAACAATCGTGGAGAGAAAAAATCGAATATATATGTAAAAGATTGAGGGCGACGCTATTTTACTAAGCACATAATTAAACAGAAATGTAATTTGCAGTAATTTGAACGATTAAAATTCATTAGGTGTTCTCTTCAGTTAATAAGATTCGGGAAAGATGGAACTCAGACCTAACTAAAGCAGTGAGAAGGGGTTCTATCTCCTTTGTATATATGGTGATGTTCCAACAATATTGTTTTTGGTTTCTTTCTTTTTTCTCATTTATTTTTTATAATCTGTAGAAGATTCTATCATACTAATTACTAAACAAGTTATAGAGATCTTAGTTATCCAAATCACTTGTTTAGATCGCAATTATTATGTCTTTCGTAATTTTCCAATCATATTGAAGTTTCCACCTCATTTTGCTCCGTTGATGCTAATTTGTTATTTGAGTCAACTCTCCATTTACTTATTTCAAGCAACATAAACTGGATCGAAGTAAAAAAAATGAATAAATGATAAATTAATGCATGTAACTATAGATTAATCTATAATTACGGCGGTAATTAAGCAAGGCAGGTGTTATATTTTCCTGTTTCTTCGGAAGCCAGGATCAAAGTCAACGGGCCTCATAAAATTAACGCTAGCGAGGTTACGAGGACCAAAAACATTAAACAAAAATAATAAATAAATAAATAAAAATACAGCGAGAGACCTGACTAGTTCGTGACTGGATTCAACCTGCTCATGTTAATCAATTACAAATGCACGTGACAACTAAAGTTCATTCACTGCAATGTAAAAGTCAACTAAGTGCTGGTTAAATCATCTGGCGTAAACATTTTCAATGAGTTACAGACTTTATGGTCTTTAGCCTAGAAGGCATGTTCTGAAATACCTGTTCCCCAATTAAGGAGACTAGAAAATATCAGTTTTCTTTTCCTTTATTTTATTTTTTAAATATGTATCAATAAGTTTATAAAGAACCTTTTGTTGGTTGATCGATTTTTGATGTGACCATGAACTTTACTCATTTAACAAGAGATGACATTAGGAATTATGCCCATTAATTGCGCTAATAAAAAAAAAAAATTTCTATTACCTCCCATCTCCTTGGAATTCTTATTGGTGACTGATCATTTTGAGTAAAAATTCATAAAATTAAAGAAAAAGAAACTTGATCATTTTGAGGAGATGATTCTTCAATTAACTTTGTCAAAGCCTATTAATTATGTTATTGTTTGGAGGATGAAGTCATATATCTTCATTTTCATTAATTTCTTTGAATATTTGTAACCTAGAATCAAAGTTAAGATAGTTGTATTGTATTTGTATACTTGTATTTCTGTTGATATGAAAATCGCACCAATATGAGTGATCCGATTGACCTTGGTAAAATCAGAACCGATGTATGCGTGATTTAATAGAAACCAACAAAGTAATGTAAAATGCCTTTAAAGTAAAGAATACAAATGATTTTTTAAGTGGTTCGGCAAGTTAGAACTTGAGCCTATGTCAACTATTATCTTATTGCTTTTAGTGGATTACAAGAATAATAGTAAGCTTCCCCAGAATAATTTGTTAACCCCTCTCTCATCGTTAAGTGGAGGGGGTTTATATACAAATTTGTAATAAAGGAAAGAGAGAAATTATCGGGATTGCAATTAAATTTAAATTGCAACTTCAATATTCCCATGATTGTGTGTTAAGATCGCCCTATCATTGTTGTTGATCTGATCTCTTCCGAAATATCCGAGATTTGAGCTTATATGTGGTTCGCAGAACAATTGCCAGCGTTGGTCGCGAGTAGCTTATGTTGGGTCGAGCTATAGCACAACGAGCTTATGCTGGGTCGGACAATTGCTGAGCCGAATTGATTATGGGTCGAACTATATCCTAGCAGACTTCTGACTTCTCCGAGCTTAATGGAAAAATCACATACAACATCTGCTCCCTAGTGTTCAGTGCTCGTTTCAAGCTTCGAAGACTAATTGCCTACTTTGACATTTAGCTCGAACTTCTTCAGTTGCATGTTGACTGTAGATTTGCTCGTTTAAGCTTTCGTGATTGTTGAGGGTGGCCATTGCCGTGGCCACACTAGCTTTTTTTAGTAGATCCATTGGTTTGGGTTTTAGGAATGTTAGGGAAGTGGCCGCTGAAATCTTGATAGTTCGCTTGCATCTCTCGATTGATGCGAGCTATCATGGATGCCTAAACTGAAAGCAAGAGTGCATGGGTTGCCTATAGTTTGAGCTCTGACACGTGGTTACTTCTATTTCTGGTATCAAGAGGTAAGCTACCACCATGTCTTCATCTAACAGTCACAGCATTAATCGACTTTTTGAGCCTAACTTCTTGGCGACCTTAGCTGTTCGCGAGGGAGGAATCCCAGAAGAGGTTTTTGAGGATATTATCGTAAACAGCTCAGACAATGATGCTACAGGCTCTTCGGATGCAGCTTCTGTCGAGCTTCCCCCACCAAGGGGCTCACCTATCCATAGAATTAGGAAAAAGCCAATCTCCTTGATTAGAGTCGAGGATCTTGAGCGCATATGGGATATTTATGCGACTTAACTCCCGTTGATGGCTTCGGGAAATATTTCCCAAAAAGATCCTCATAGGGATTGGGTGGCGATCGTTGACGTCCTTATGAGGTGTGGAATGTTCGTCCCACCTCATTTCTTTATTGTCGACATACTAAGAAGATTTGGCATCGCTCCTCTTCAGCTCACGAAGAACTCGTATATAATCATTTTCAGAATGTACATAGCTCACCAAATATCCAAGTTAGGCGAGATAGTCCACCTATATAGATTAAAGAAGAATTAAGACCAGATGTATTACCTCTCCAAAGCGAGGAAAATGCGTTCGAATGGTTTGGTTGGAGTCCCAAAAAAGTTGGGAAATTGGGACTCCCAATATTTCTTTTATGAAGCTGGGGAGACTAGCACTTTTGCCTCGGATGCTGGTAAGTATTTTGGTCTTCACACAAAACTAAAGGTTTTTTAGTCGGACAACCGAGCTAACCTAACATTTTTTTCATTTTGTAGTAAACGTCGAACTTTGTCACCGTATCGCACCGAGATCAGCTTCAACGTTGTAGCGAGCTTCTTGGTAATGAGCATAACGTCACCCAAATCGTCACACTCGCTCACCTGATGGCATATGGTTTTTGCAACGGCGTTGCAAACTTTTACACTATTTTTGAGAAAGTTAAGTGTTCAAAAACCCGTTTTTTACATCTTTCCTTTAGTAAATCGCTAACATTTTTTTCCTTTGCAGATATGTGGGCCGAAAAGCTGAAGAACCTGAAGAGGAAGATGGCAGTTCATAGAGCTACTAAGACATAGTCGATAATCTCGTCGAAGAACTAGTGTATGGGTTTTGCCAAGGTGACTGGGGCAGGTTCCTCGCGGCCGACCCCCAAGAAAACTAACGGAGAGCTTGGGGGCTCCAAGTGCTAAGAAGCCTGCAACTGCTTCCAAAGTAGTTGCCCAAAAAGATATACCTGAGCTCCAAAGGGCTCGATAAAGAAACACTCCGAGCTAGTGGAAGGCCCCGGAAAAAAAAAAATCGATCGAGCAACTGGAGGGCTCGAGAAAGAAAAAATCGATCGAGCAACTGGAGGGCTCGAGAAAGAAAAAATCAACCAAGCAGATGGGAGGCTCGGGGAAGAAAAAGTCGACTGAGCAGTTGGAAGACTAATGAAAGAAAACTATCAAGCCTGCTGATGGCTCAAAGAAGATCTTGGTTAGTAGTGTGGCCAAGAAAAAGTTCACTTTGGCGGTTGGGACTGCCATTCAAATTGAAGTGGAGGAAACTCGTCTTGACAACACGACAAGGAGGAACGGGCTAAGCCAGCTGCTGAGCTTGACAAGAGAATTAGTGAGTTCCTTGAGCGTTTAGACGTGGGAGCCTTTGCCTCCAAGGAGGTTGTATCAGAGCAGCAGTATGAGCTACTCTAGTCTGCCCCTCCTCACGAGCTGCTTGCTCGCATATGTGGCTTTGCCACCAAGATATGTGGTAGCTCGCTTTTTCTGCTTTGCTTCGAGATCTCCCTCTCCCCCCCTCCCCCCCTTTTCTTTTACTAATTGCTTTCTCCTTTTTTAGGCTAACCGAATGTTGACACTATTTCTATGCCTTGGTCTCGTCGAGATAACGGATGATGAAAGGATCGAATTGTACAGTAACCGTATCATTGACAGGTAGCTACTTCGCTGAATCCGAATCTAGCGGGTGGCCATGATGCCTTGCTAGGGGCCAATCTTGGTCTGTGCATAGTGAGACGATCAATTGGTGTTAATCGCGACACTATACACTACCGGTATGATGAGGAGCCTATGAGTCACACACATAGAAGATAATTTAAGAGCCAATGAAGGGCGTTTTTATCTTTTTAGGCAAAAGGGTATTTTGGTAATTTCACAGTGCAATTAAATTTGTTGAGGTCGTAGCCTTTATTTAATTTGATATTAAAATTAAATAAGTGAGATTACGTTTAAATATGTGTTCGCATATATTTAAATAAATTATCATTATTTTTAAATGTTAATATATATTAATTTAATTTAATTGAGATAATGATAAATTAAAATTAAAATATCTAAATGGGAATGTTTGGATACAAGGGGTGTTTGGGTTGGAGCCCAAGCCTATTCCATAAGGGAACAGGGCAATTACACTTGTACTATATAAGTGTAAGTTTTTTGTGTGAATAGAAGTAGAAATATTCATTCACTCATTTGATTCATTGAAAAAAAAGAAAACACTCCAGCCCCTTGAAACACTCTCCACGCTAGATTACATTTTTTGCTTGAATCAAATTACTTTGATTTTTCTTCTTGGTTCTTAAATGCTAAAGAGGATCTAGCAAATCACTCTTTAGTTCCTTGAAGTTATCTTCGTGTGGACTACACCAGTTT